GAAGAAGAAGCAGGACGTGGCCAAGGAGGAGCGCCGCGGTCAGTGGGAGTATGGTGATCTCACTGAGGATTAGACGTCTACATAGTTTATCGTCGCAGAGCTAGCAAAATGGCAGCACGAGTGGGAACAATGTAGCAATAGAAGCAAAAGCATGTGTCACAGCCTCCAAGTGAGCAGGATTGTCGAATATGTGTGTGTGTGTGCGAGCGATAATGCCTTGTGATGAAGGTCAGCTACTATGGCTGCCGAGGTGGAGGCGCAGGCGCGGGCGGAGTTGGACGGCATATCATTGGCGGGCTTCGGCGGCGTTATGTTCTCTCCCCCCACTCGTCTACGGCAGCGAGGCGGTGCTAGGGCTGGCTGTAGGCAACCACCAAATGCACCCCAGTCAGCCCAGTTGACTGAACACGGGTCTTGTGCCATGACGACCACCTTCCAGGCAAACGCGCTGCAGGCTTCCTTCATGTCTTTACCTCGTCACACTTAATATCGCTCCGCCCTCGCCCGTCGCGCGTCAGAATACCCGTTGCGACAAGCCTCAAGCCAGTCGTGACCATGGAGACCATCAGTAGACTACCCCGGCGCCTGACACAGCTCTACTCCGATACCAAAACCACATGCGATGCCGTTGTGGAACAGGACGCCAAAGACACGCCCGAATCGCATGCGCTGCATCGCAAGTTTAGGATACAGAAAGACCGGCTCATAACATGGGGCGTCGACTGGAGCGACAACTCCAAGGGGAAGCAGGGCGACATCGACGACAGCGTAGAAGAGGCAGGCATGACAGAGACAGTCACAAGCGTGCTCGGCACGATCAAGGAAATCCTCGATGAGGCGGAAAAGATGCACCCGGGCACATCTGTTGCGGGTGGGGGAAAGACACTGTCTGGAGAGAAGAGCCGGCCTGACCTCCCCTCGTGGGCGGCCGCCGACAGGTCACGTTACGAGGACCTCATCAAGGACCTCACCACCTCCATCGACATACTCTACGATCTTTCACGAAATCGAAGAGCCCAGAGAAGCAATGAACGTGCTATCAGTCCAGGAAAAGCTGCGCCGCGTCCCACCACATCTACTCCTGTTTTCTTGTCGCCCGACTACAACGCCTCTGACCTGACGCTTGTTAATCCAGCCACCTTCCCTCTGAATGCACACACACCCAAGTCTCATCTTCCACCAAAACTAGATCCTGCAGACCTGATCCTCCCTGACGAGGAACCCCCACCATACGAGAGCGTCGGGACTACCTCTGTTCGTGTCATCGGTCGTCTCCGATCTCGCCACAGCTCCACGAACCCCTGGAAGACGGATGGAAGTAGGAACATAGAGACTTGCGTTCTGGTTGACTACGCATGTTACGACCCTACCTATCGACTCACTGAAGTATCTCCACCCACGGACCGCCTCGAGAACCTCCTGTCCATCTTGACGAAGCTGACCCACAACCAATCTTTCCACGGTACTCTCAAGTGCCTTGGTTACTTTGAAGATCCAAAGCAGCCACGTTTTGGTCTCGTCTTTGAACTACCCACCTCGGTCTACTCAGGGCCAGCCGACTCTCACAAGCCAGTTGAGGAACTCAAGCCAGTTACACTGCTCAGTGTATTGCAGACTGGCTCCAAGTCTCAGCACAACTCCAACAGTGCCACTCCGCCGCTTGAAGACCGCTTTCGTCTGGCCTTTACGCTCGCCTTGACCTTCAGCAAGGTTCATGGCGACAATTTTCTTCATAAGGACGTCAACAGCACCAACATCATGGTCTTCAAGAAGAGCAAGAGACAATCTGCCAACAGTAGAGCATTGCAATACTCGCTGCGAGCACCCGTCATATGTTCCTTCGACCTGTTCTCCGACTTTGACATTGAGACTTCCAGAACGACACCGGCATTGAACATCTATCGTCACCCGGAAGATCCTAAATTTACCGGAAACAAGGACCAAGAGTACAACGCCAATTTCGATCTCTATGGCCTAGGACTGGTACTGCTCGAAATAGGATTATGGGTGCCTCTGCTTGACCTCTGGAAGCAAAAGTACACCCTCAGTGACTTCAAACAACGGATAGAAGATGTGTACATCCGTAGGCTTGCCTCCAAATGCGGAACAGCCTATATGCAGGTAGTGCGCGACTGCTTCTGGGCCGCTGATGTCAAGGGCGATAACGCGATCGATGTCCCGCAGGTCTACACACGCATCCTTACCAGATTGCAACGCTGCTGCATGCTCGACGAATCTGAACCTGGTTTCGACTTGAGCGAACTCAGACCGGGTTCCACACCTATACAGCAAGCATCTCCATTGAAGCGCAAGAGCGTAAGTCAGCCACAAATAGCAACCGATGCCCAGTCAAGCCCGTCATATAGGAGCGCAAAGCGATGGGCACTGGAGAAGGGATCACAGGCGCTGGAAAGGACCAAGTCTCTGTCAAAGAAGTCGCCAGATCTCTCATTGGCTCGTAATCCATCCCGGAGCTCGCAACATTCTATTCGAAAGAGCATCTCAGAAAGTTTGCGTATGATGAGTCCAAAGGAAGAAACTACAGAGATGGAGTGGGAGCAGAAAGACCCTTTGGAAGAATCAGGTACTCTTGTCGAGACTCCACCAAACTCGCAAGACCTCAGCGACAACTCTTCTTTGTACAGGGAACGTGTGATAACCGCTGCTTCAATAATCCAGCGCGCATGGCGACAATCACGCAACCCTCCCGATCGAGGCGCAACGCTTCAAGACTACAAAGACAAAATCACTATCATTCAGAAGGCTTGGCGCCAGACAAAACAAAAACGGAGCGGTAACACTGTCTCAGCTCTGGTCAGTGATGGGCTGAGGCACTGGCCACAAGCTACCCTCGGCTATCCTACACCTGAACCCGAGGTTCAAAGTAGGACAGTTGATTCGAGTGAGAGCTACGTCACGTCCTCAATACAAATCGAGACCGATATGGAACACGCTCCTCGGCCAAAACTTCGCCTCTTCCCCGTCAAATTCACTCCCGAGATTGTGGATGAGTGGCATTCGTCTATGTTGCCCCGCCTTGAGCGTTTGATTGAACGCGCACTCAAAGACTCTGAAGAGACTGTCAGCATTGATCTTGTCGCTATTGGAGAAGTACTCGAGAAAGCCAAGCCTACTGTGTTTGTCACCTGTACCAGTGTGGCTAAGGTCAAAGCTATCCTTAGTCGTCGCTTCCGCTACGATGAGAACGTGTATGATCTCAAAGTCCGGAGGGGAAAGATCAGGCGGTCCAAAATGAGCCGTTCGTCGCGCCGAACTAGGCCACCCCATCGATCGATGATGAACACTAATACCTACGATGCTGACATGCAAGTGATGAATCCTTATCATCAGGAGCGCCCACTATGCGGAGCTTCTATTGGAGCTTTCAGGGGTGAACACCTGCCTCCAGTGTCCTATGGTGGAGTTATCTTGGTCGACGATGAGCCACTGGGCATGAGTGTCCATCACCTACTCGACGCGCCGTCTGATGATGAAGATGACATTGGTGAAGAACCCGATAGCCCTCTTCCCAGTGATGTGATGTTATCAAGTGCAGCGAACAATCCCTGGTTGATGGGTATGGGTGAGCAGCCAGATCTTTATCTGGAGTCGGATGAGCCTGCTGCGATGTGGGATCTTGAACTCTCAGACGACGATGACCTGAAGAGTGAGGATGAGGATGCTGATATCGATTCGTTCGAATTTTCCGACAGCGAGCTCGAATCTGACGATGACTCTGCAGAAGGTATGTCAACTAGGTATTCCATGAAAGGCTCCAATGCTAATCTTGTTTCAGGCATGGCCGATTCCATCGTCTCGCGCGCAACTATGGGTGATATTGACGGCATTGTTCCAGGCGAAGGCGAGGAGATTAAGATCACGCAACCAGCCATCGATGACGTCGACGCAGACTTTTTCCCTAACGAAGAAGATCGCGACGACGACCATCTTTCCTCGCACGAGCTAGGTCACGTTCATGCTTCTTCCGGAATTCGCCGCTGGAAACGCGATGGTATCCTCCACGAAATTGACTGGGCGCTCCTCAAACTCAAAGAAGATCGCCTTCAACCATATAACATATGCCAAGGAGGTCGTCGCTTCTGCATGGGCAACATGACACCCGAACAACGTGCGATAGCCTCCAAGCTCGAAAAGCCGGTCAACCGCCGTAACTTCACTCCAGAAGAAGACGAGTATCCTAACGGCGTTGCCCCCACTTCGTCTCTCGGTGGTATGTCTGTGCATTGTTTCGGCCGGACAACCGGTCTCCAAGGCGGCATGATCAGCAGCGTCATGTCCGCCGTTCGCATCTATCACCGCAAGTCCTTCTCACGCTCCTGGCACGTCGCCGGTGGATTCGGTAAAGGCGGCGACAGCGGAGCCTGGGTCGTGCAAAACGGCCACCACAAAGTCGTCGGCCACGTCCTCGCATTCTGTCACAAGAACCAAATCGCCTACATCTGCCCGATGGAAGTCCTCCTTGAGGATATCAAGCGCACACTAGGCGCCAAACGCATCTATCTTCCGGGCTCTGTAGAGCAGACGTTGTACAAGGCCAAGAAGGCTAGACAGCACGAGGTTATCGAAGACCTGGGTGCGAGAGTTCAAGGTCTAGGTATTGTGGATTCTGCGGTGGATGTCAGGGAGAGTTTGGGATCTGGGCCACCGGCTAATGGCGGTCTGTGGGAGAGGCTAGAGCGGGGAGTGGATAGCGACAATCAGAATACGAGATCTGCCATGAGGAGCAGTATCATGCGTGTCAACAATGGAAGGGATGGGGGATTGGAAATGAGTGTCAAGTAAGAGTGAGGTGCTAGGCGTTGATCAGGCGTTCGGTAAGGACGGCATGGCTGGAGGAGGGTATACCCCATTGTTGAGTTAAATCTCTGTTCAAAACCCACAAACTTCTTATCCCGTTCAGTCTGAAGTGCATGAAACCTCGATTGAATCTATCCAAGGCGAGTTATTCGTCCGAGTCTTATAGCAATGGTACAAGAGCGCTAAGTCCAAACCCGTGCCCCAATCTCCTTACACAGGTTCTCAACATCCTCTCCTTTCCCTGTTCTCGCCCAATACTCCTCAAGTTCAGCTGGGTACCCTGTTTCGTTGAGCGGTTTGATCCATTCATCACCCTTGCTCCGCGCTACCCAGTACGCCATCCTCTCTGGACGTTTACCGTCTCTGTTCGAAGCGAAGTGGATAAGCAAAGACGCAGGACGTGCCAATGATGGTTTGTCAGGGTGTGCTTGATTCGGTGGAAACCCGTTGAACCATCGTTGAGGCACATGGGCAATGGCAGAGGAGAAGTATTGCCGCATGCTAACCTCTTCCATAGCACTTTGCTCGCTGTACTTCAACTGTATGTCTGGATTATACTCTTTCAGGCTTAGTGCAGCAGCGAAGAAACGTATTGCCCATTCATTTACTCTAATAAAGAAGACGCCATTGTTGAGCCCATGTCGATCATTCGTCACCACCAAATGAACGTCCTGCACCGGCGGTAAGAAGACTTGCAACGGTACCTTAGGGTTCATCAGTATGGTATCCCGGTCATGCCAGAAGAGCCACTCCAGCCGTTCCGCCGCCGGCTTAGCGAGTTCAGCTCCAAGAATCGTGAGCAAGAAAGCGTGCTTGGACCAGAGACCAGGAAGCATGCGTTCGTGCAGTATGAATTGAGGGTATCCATGGAGGTCGTTGTGGACCTGGTGTGAAGCGATGGCGGCTTCGTAAACGGGATCCTTAGGACCGAATGACGCTGTAACTTTGCCAATGCGAGGGAAAACCTGCGATGATGGCGAGGCTGTATGTGAAGCAGGGATTGACGTAGGGGCAGGAATACGCGTCGGTAGAACCTTGCTTGAGACTGGTGTCCTGATCGAGAGGAGAAACACAAGAGCTAGGCCTAATACGAAGATTCCAGCATATTTCAACATCCGAAATGGTGTTGCTCTTCGAAGAGAATACCTAACACAGGGGGTCTGGTTGTCTTCAGACCATGTGCTGGAAATGGAGCTGCGCCTGCTTTCGCTCATGATGAGTGCTGTTGCTGAGGCGCGCAAGAGCTTGGAAGGCTACAACGGGGAGAGACGAGCGTCATATGGGATCGATCGATTGCATCGACGGCCAGGCGTCTTTTTTTGAGGTTTCTCCAATAGAAGGGTTGAGTGTGTGTTCAGTAGTATGGTAGTGATCACGTGCTGAGTAATAGACGCGAACGAAAAAAGCAAAAAGAACAAATCAGAGGTTATTTGATCTCGTTGAGGTTATTTGGCGATACCGAGAGGTGCCATGGTCTCGGGTTCTTGGTTACTGCCAGGGCAGCCGCCTAACATGCCAATAAAGCCCAGCGGAGGATAAGCCACCCCGCGTTCAACTAGTGCCGCTAATTGCTTATGTGGTGGCGCGTGAAACGCGTACGTGTCTCGAGACGTCCGGCAATGGATAGTATGCGTCTTTTTTAAGCTTGTAGGAGTAGTCAGTACGATGACGATGCAAGCTCCAGATCCAGGCATCATTGTCGAGATCGTTTTCAAGCTACTTAGGCATCTCGGTGAAAGCGCCCAATACGAAAGCCGAGTTGTCGGAACCCGAGATCCAGGTATGACATGGTCAGAGGTCATCGTGAGCTGATTGCTGTCAGAAACGTCGTTAGCGGATTCATATACATAGATGCCGGTTGTGCTGCAAGGCCCGAGACTTGGGAGAGAAACCTTGTCACTTCGTAATATCATGGCCGTCATGCAGCTCTGCCGAGCCGCTAAAAGTTGCCATGAACACCAGCCACCATCAAGAACTGCAACCTCAGACCAGACCCATCACCTCCGAGCCTGTCTAAACTGACAACAATATAGCGAAATGTGACCAATCCCGGTTTGCCATGTGTGGTTGGCAAGTCGAGGATGAAGAGGTATAACCAGGCGAGCTCACGACGGCCTAACATCGGTGCATTCGCCTTATCGTGTTTCTCGGCAGCTCGAGGCTCGTCTCAGGAACGTACATATCGTGCAGACACGGTGAAAGATTTCATGATATTTCATTGCTTCATATGGTCATTATAGGAAAGGAAACTCGTCGCCACGTCCATAATCCACGTACAGCAAGATGAGTCGAGAAGAAAAAACCAACCTTACCACTCACTTGGCCAAGACCGCGTTGATACCGTTCGGAGCACCAACCTTACTGAAGCCCTTTGGAGTCTCAATCTTACTGACACCATCTGATGCGTCATCCGAATACCCACTGTCCGACGCCGCCTTGCCACTCAGCGCGCAACCGCACTCTGATGCTTTCACCTGAACTGATACGCTCATGTCCTTCGGTATCCTCGACTTCTCCCCACCGTATCGCACAGTCGTCATACTGAAGAAGGTGTTCCCCGACAGATTCGCCCACATACCTTTCAAGAAGTCCCACATCTCTTCACTCAGGTTCTCTGACTCGAGCCTTTTCAACTCCTCCAAGATCCACTGTTCACGCTGCAGCAAAAGGGCGTACGACATTTCCAGTGCGGTAGCTTCGTCAGGGCAGCTGAGTAGTTGTTGCACGACAGTGACGAAGTTGATTAGATCAGGACATTGACCTGTGTGGTAGGCTCGAGCTTCCTTCTCATAGCTGTATATGTCATTGGCGATCGAAAGGTGCTCTGTCGCAAGCTTCATGAAGTGCGCAATGGCGGGGTCTTTGATGTTGATACTGGATGCTAGGGAGAACTTTACGGCAGCGAAGGTCCAGCCTGCGCAGATGTTTCCGTCGCGGAACCTGAGGTATTCGTCCAATGAAGTGAATTTCTCTGGGTGTTTGATAGATTGGAGTGAGTGGTTGAGGAGCTCTCTGTACATGTCTTCGCCTCCGTTCCCCTTTTGTGCATCGGCGGCACGCACGTCAAGTGTGACTTGGTCGAGGAATGCTTGTAGAGGTGTCTTTGCGAGTTTGGATGTGTACTTGGGATCCTCTAGTCGCTTGCAGAAATCGTCGATCAACATGGGGACTTCCTTGTCGCCTACTACTTCGCTCCGGTCTAGCGTTGAGGTTAGTTACTTGGTCTGAGCGGAGCCACGAGACTGGGACGAGTGAATATACCATCGAAAAGGAAAAGCAGGCAAGCGAATATAGCTATGAGCTCGAATCGGCGTGCGTCCGTGGTGAAAGGGTACATGTAACCTGGGCAGCGCAAGACACGGTGCTTAAAACCAGGACGAAGTTCCCGACGTGCAATGTCTTGAATAGAATGTCCATCCTTTACAGGAAGATGTTCCGCATCTTTCTCACTTGCGAGAAGATAGATCGTTGTTCTCCCCGCCTCCAGGCCCTCCTTCCAGAACCGTGTTTCGTATACGTCTGCGATGGAGCTGCAGTAAGGAACGTCACAGATGCCATTGAGCGGACTGAGAGTATTGAACACGCGTTCCTTAGTATTGTGAACCTCGCCTCCGCCTCTAGGAAACGAAATAGGGCAACGACGTATCCATGACGGATTGGACTGTAAAGGGTTGTGCAGATACCGTATAGGGCAGATTCGGTCCTGCTCGGCCTCACTAACAAGGCCGGTGAGAGAGTGATGAGGGATAACCATGTTGAAACAATCGAACCCTTGGAGTCGGAAGCTTTGAGACTTCCCATTCAGTTGGACTTGCAAGATACTTATGGGCCGGAGACACGTATTGCATGTATTACGAGTCAGCGCCCTGGCTTGGATATTCTGATGGAGAGTGGACCAGGGTGGGATCCCGGAGAAATTTCCTCATGCCGGTAAATACCCCTGCGAGATCAACCGTTTAAGCTTCCCGTTCTTATCACGTATGATCAACGGGTATCGTGGCTCGACTCAAATATGTCCGAAACGGTCTTGACAGCTTGCGAGCACCCCACATCTCGCGACAAAGAGTTCACTACTTGCCCTGCATGCCATCATCCTAGTCGCCCTACCATGCGCGCGTGTGGCATAGTCCGGGCACCGCTGCCTTTTCGCGTAGTCTGAGAGACATCTCTGCCGTGAAAGTCTTTTGTCACGAGGTCCGGCCCGTCTCGCGCATGACGGAGCGGCCCATGGCTGTTGCCATTTGTCAACGTTTTTCACCCCAATGCTATCTCATTGGAACGGAAGAGCTTCCGTACCGTCTGCTAAGGATTACACCGTGCCTTGTTTCGAGGAGTGTACTTCGTTTGCGGTTCCCGCGCTGTTATTCTCACCCCTGTTTATTGGGCGAAGGGTTCAGAGAACACTAATGTCCTTCGTGCATACGCGACAATGGCTATACGCGCTTGTTAGCTCCACGGAAATGTAGAATGTGCCTTTGGGTCTGCTGAGGGCCTGATTTATACGGCAATAGCCATTGGTTTGTGCTTTGGTGTCGCTTGCTAGTTCTTGTCGAGCGTTGTCAAACCGTCTGTGTCATGGCGTGGACTGAGTCGTACGCGAGTAAGATGGCGTGTACCTTTGCGGCGATCTACGATCTTTTTACCCAACCCTTCTGCCCGTTATCTTTGTGTCTACTGGTGATTCCTAGAACCCGTCATTGGTCGAAAACGGCGCTTATCCTCGAACCACTTTGGCATGCACAGCGTCTCATAGGGCGATACTCGACAGACCTCTTTCCATCGGTCCTTCACCGCTTCTTTTTGAACGAGGTTGTTCCGACAGTGCAGAAGGATGTGTACTACAGCCGGAATCGGAACGACTTCTTCGAGTATAGGTTCATGGCGTGGATTACGACGATGCGTGGTCAATGACTTCGAGACGAGGGGTGGCGTACGACGATAGCTGGTCATCCACGATAATTTTGGTGACATGTGACTACCAGCGATTTTATCTAGCTGTTTTTACAGTAGAAGATGCTCATTTCCAGTTACACATAGGTCGTATGCGGTATTGTGGGCCCGAGATGTCCGGATGAAAAGTTGGGTTTCATCTCCAGCGACATGACTCCAGTAGCAGTTCTGCAAACCATCATAGTTTTTGTGAGTACCAAGAGGTCGCAGTACGTTGAGCCAAACTCGGCCTACACTTCACTTCGAGTCTTGTATCGTGTCCCACACGTAAACTGTCAGCTATGTGCGTACGTTCTTCGTTACGACGAAGCCGACTGCCATGTCGTGATTCGATCTGTAGCAAAACTGTGGGGTCTTGGAAATAAATGCATGTGCGTAAAGAAGTACAAAACTTGTTTTGACGTTGTTCATGGGCTTTTCGTAGAAATCATGGCGAGCCGTGGCCTTTGGCGTGAGTTTCAAATCCCGGCAACTCGGAAGCGAAAGGCATATCGATACCAGCTTATCACAACGACTTATCGTTACACGCATGTTTGTCCGCTTGAGTATATCACGAAGTGTATGGCAAGGCTTGGTGTAGGAGTCTGGTTGCCTGTTATCCTTGGGATCTCGAAGAATTCTGACGTAGCAGATACGCAATTGGCTTACCAGCTTGCATGCAACGGCATGGTGCCGTATGACCACGACGCGCACTATTTGATGGAAGGAATGAAATTTACAATGGCATGCTTTAATCTTCTCTTTGACCGACAGTGCCCTTACTCCCAGAGATTAGACGGCTGATGATCGATGTCCATGAGTGAAAATACGATGCGTTTGACGGCTCGGAAAAGTGAAGTAATCTCTTGTTCTTGTTTTGGAAAAGGTGGAAGATACGACCATGACACTAGAAGCCTGGATATAACTTTTGGTGATCGGATCTTTAGATGGAAAGAATGCGGATGTATTCGGGGTAGGTTAGTATGCCTCCCAATATGTTGTTCGTACTTTCCAAAGACTCTGCACGAGACATTGAGTTCGTCACGTTCGGCGCCGAACAACATCTACCACTTGCTTCCCCTAAAGAGTTGAGTAATGGTATCGGGAACTCTCGCGTTGTCGACCATTGCTGGCTTGCAAGTTTCGTCGTCCTGGTGATTATCATAAGAAGGTCGTCATCGATGATTGTCGGCTAGGCCCTTCGTCCGGTGAGGAAGTCGCAGCGACGAGATATCATCAAGACGCTCAAGAGATGGCAGTACAGCTCTGCAGAATGTCGACTGGCTTCCATATTGTAGCAGCGATGCGAGGTTTGGTCTTGACAGTCGCTCCGAAGACTTCGTTCGCGGAAGGGGTCGCGATCAGCACCTCGCTCTTACTAAGCTTGCATTCACGTAACTATGAAGCTTACATAGTATAATGAACCAAGCACGTACTTCAGAAACCCACTTCGCGAGGTCGCCAAAGCTTCGTATTGCTGGTCTGATATCTCCGTGTACGGATGGTTGGGCGCTAGCGAGATCTAAAGAGGAAGCGCTATCACGAAAGCAGATGTGGCGCAGCCCCTGAGGTGGTCTTTCCTCTGGCGAACACATCACGAACACCAAACGGCCTGGCAGGGAGCGAGCCCGAAGCACTGCATACAGTAGGAAGGATCCGACTCGGACCTTTGGTATTCTAACACTGCCAAAGAGAAGGCTTTGGACAAACTCCCTACAGATAAGCATAGTACTCAATCATCTGCGCTAGTGTTCACATCATACCATCTGTCACAATCACGTACTGATTGTTGCTGCTCAATGACTTACACAGGGTCAGCAATCTCGACCAATTATCAGCCGAACTGAACGTGCGTTCAACGGAGACGGGATCCTCTCAGAATCCACGCTATTGAACACGCAAGAGCCACAAGGTCTAGAATTGAGGTTCAAAAATAAACATCGAAATCTCATTGGACGGCGGAAGCACAATTACTATTCTCACGACGGGCGCTCTGCTAGCAAGATCACAATTGATAGCACATGTTGGGGTATCAAGCCTTGGGTAGTGGGGAAATATCCGCCTGTCTTCGTGCGGGACCCCTACTCCTTCTCCCGCCCCACAGCTTTGAGTTGAAGCATGCATAAAAATGCTTTTGAAACTCGATAAGCGGCAATCCAGTATCATATGAGCAGAGAAATGTCGAAAAGGCGATCGTTGCCCAAGAGACGGCTTTTGAAACCTCGACAAAGTGTTTTCTCTCAGAGTCCCTACCGTTCATGATGGGTCGGTCCGGATTGTATCTGAGTAAGCATTTTCTTCCGAAAGCTTATGCTTCGTATTCGTATGTATATTCGAGTTGAGAACCACTACCGAGCGGTATGCTGATGCATTGCGCACGTATCGCGTTCTAGAGCTGAACACCCTCGGATTCTGATAGCAAGCGAGCGGCGAACACTACCATCTCAGGGGCATGTATCGCCAGGAGCTGCTCGCTTGATGAGTATATATGGACAATCATGTCTCGCAGTTCTTCTCCTCATCCACACCTTCTACTTAATTATCACACTCTCTTTTCTACACTCGTTCTTTCCTATACTATCTCACCCCAGTCATTCGTTATACACGATCATATTTATATCTAATATCTAATATCAACAACAACAACCATCACAATGAAGTACGCACTAATCTTCGCTGCCACTGCAGCTGCCTACGAGGCCTACGGCGGATACGGTGCGGATGTGGAGTCCAGCTCGGCTGTCAAGCCTAGCACTTCCGCAAAGCCTATCGGATACACCACCATCGTCCCAGGCTATGGCAAGCAGCCGGTCACTGTGACCACCCAGCACCAGCCGTACCCAACCTGCGTTTCTCCTGCCTACGGCGGTAAGGATTGCGCCAAGTGGGATGAGGACGCCTACGTGTCGACTGTGATCAAGGACTACGACAACAACTACGCTACAATCACCAAGACTGCGCAACCTGTCGTTGTCTACCATACCAAGAAGACTATCACCCACTCCGCCACTGCCACAAGCGGCTACGCTGCGCCCACCGGCGTTGCCTACAAGAACGGCACTGAGGGTTGCTGGTACGAGTTGTACGAGAAGATCGAGGAGGTGCCATACAACCAACTTGGTCCTCACGCACTTCCCGGATACCCCGGCTCCGGTCTCTACAAGGAGGGCGAGAAGAAGCAGCCCGTTAACGTCAAGGAGTACAAGGGCGGAAAGTGGTCTGAGTACGTCCACGAGTACTCCTACGGCACTCCCAAGCCTGAGGTCACCACCTACGAGAAGCCCGGTGTCTACACAATCCCTAGCAAGGATGTCACTATTGACCACCCTGTCACCTACCCAGCTGAGGCTACCAAGACTGCGAAGGCTGGTGAGACATGCACCTACGGAGGTCAGTCCATCGAAGCCAAGCAGACCGGTTACATCACTGGTGCTTATGCTGCTTATGAGACAAAGGTCAACGGTGGTAAGACCGTGACTGAGACCGTGATCAAGCACACCACAATCTATGCCTCTACCACTGGCAACTACGAGGTCGCAAAGCCCACAACCACCGTGTACGACCATGACACCGAGGTCGCATACCCAACTGCTAAGCACTACGAGGCGGGTGTTTACCACCACGAGGCTCAGACTGTCACTATCACCAAGCCCGGACAGGCCTACACTTGCGAGTACGAGCAGACCAAGAAGCACGAAGCTACCTCGACACCCAAGAAGAGCACCGACCACTCGGCCTACCCTACCTCTGTCCCCGCTCACGACAACTCTTACGGCCACAACAAGCCATCTTCAACCCCTAAGCAGCCTACTGAGGGCCAGAACAACTACCCTTCGTACCCTGCCACCCCCAACAAGCCCACTGAGGGTGAGCACAACCACCCCTCTTACCCGGCTACTCCTGAGAAGCCTACCGAGGGCGAGAGCAACTACCCTTCATACCCCTCAACCCCCAAGAAGCCTGTCGAGAGTGAGAGCAACTACCCCTCTTACCCTGCCGGTCCGGTAGAGGGTCACTCATCTTCCGTTCAGGAGTCCTACCCAACTTCCGCACCTGCGACTATCTACACCAAGCCATCCTACAACGGCGGAAACGCCTATGGCGAGACTGGAAAGTCAACCATGGCCACTGTTTCTTCCAAGGAGAATGCTTACCCTGAGTCTACTCCTGCCTACGGTGCGGGTTCTTCAGCTCCTGCTTACGGTCCTGATTCCTCTGCTCCTGCCTATGGCACCGCTTCTTCCGCAATGGCCAGTTCCACTCCTTGTGAGAGCAGCTCTGCTTCCTCCACTACTGCCAAGTCCTCTGCCTACAGTGCTTCTACCCCTGCTTTTGAGTCTTCCATCTACAGCGCATCCAAGCCCGCTGAGGCCAGCTCTACTCCTTGCGAAAGCAGCACTGCTTCCGTTACTCCAGCGAAGTCTTCCGCCTACAGCGCCTCTACTCCCGCCAATGTTTACACCAAGCCATCTTACAACGGCAACACCGGCTACGGCGAGAATGTCAAGTCGACTCTCTCTACCATCTCTACCAAGCCTTACCCTGCGTCCACTCCTGTAGAGCACTACCCTGCAAGCGCTAGCTCCACTCCTTGCGAGAGCAGCACCGCGTCCATGACACCCGCCAAGTCGTCCGACGTATACAGCCAGGCTACACCCTCCCCAGCCAAGTCTTCGGCCTACAGCACCCAGGCTTACGGCGAGGCTTCGTCGACTCCCGTCAAGCCCACCTCCGCCCCTGCCTACGACAACACTCCCTACCCCGCTGGCGCCACTTCTACCCCCTGCGAGAGCAGCGACAAGCCTTCCGCTACTCCTTACGTTCCCGCAGCTTACCAGCCTGCCCCTGCTGAGGGCTACAGCAAGCCCCAGACTGGCTACGCTAAGCGTGGTGGATTGAACGAGCGTCGCAAGATCGCTGCTGCGAACTAGAAGCGCTAATGGTTTTCTTCTGTAAATTTTCGTTGTGTTGAGAAGTAGATAGAGAGGAGATGAAGTTAGAAAACATGTGTGTAGAATCTAATGGAAAATCACCATTGCACAGTTCCACCTGGAATCGTGAGTGTTTACGCTTGATGTACATATTGGCACAGAAGGTGCAGACTCACAAAGACCTGCCGTCTAATTATCTGCCGCGATACTCAAGAACAACGAGAAAGACTTGGTAACAGAGGGTTGGTATGAAGGCTTTTCAGTCCTAACTGTCAGCGTGATCAGGACTGGCGACCTCAATTTCTACTTGCACTCAGTTGTAGGGGAAAGTCGAGCGCCCTTAGGTGGGTGCTTAGTGGGGACTGCTCGACTATTCTCTACAACGACGTGGTTGTATGAAGCGGAGCGTGGAATGTAGAAAGGAAGGGTGGGGCAAAAGGGGGGCACAAGTTCGAAAAAGTAGCATGGGCATAACACTCGATCCTAGCGACCGAAGATGTGCCCTTCAACCAGGCCAAAGCTTCTATGGAAATTAAGTATATAACAATAAAATGTCATCTTTCTTTCATCAAGCATTCTTGGTCCAACGGTAGGATAATTGCCTTCCAAGCAATTGGCCCGGGTTCGACTCCCGGAGGATGCACAACATCCTTCTCCACAATTGCGAGATCTTCTTTTTTGTCTTTTGCTGCTTCGACTTAAAGACCGAGCATCATATTACAACACGACAAGAACAATTCTTTTTGTAGGAGAATATTTTCTGTACAATCAAAATACGGGGCTTCTAGGAAACAACACGGAGGTTTTTGTTTTGTACTACAGCTGTGTAGAAGGATTCCGCAGGCCTGCGCGTGTGTATTCATTCCCTTCCACAACCTGCTGTAGAGGCCAAGTCTGACTTTTGCGACAATGCGCTTGCACATCAAGCCCATACTTTCTTTTCTTCTTGTCTTCTCAGCCGCACTACCAAACTACCATCACCTCGGATGCATCTGATGTGCGCCCGCAGGCCTGGAACCGGCCAAAGTCTCGACGCGACACCAAGGTGAGGGGTGTTGGTTGGTTATCAAGCATCGCGTCGCTTCTGGCCGGTGGCTTATCAGCAACACGAGCCATCAAAGCAGACATGTCTGGTAGAGATTCCTTGGTACTCAAGAGCTTGATTTTGACACAAGACGCGCATGATCACTCTATCTTGCATAGTGGTCTGATAAGATGCATATTCCGTCATGGAGGACACAACGATTCCCGCAGGACTTTGTAGCTCTGTGGCAGTCCAACGCGACATTGCGTAACAGCTATCGATAATCTCGCTGTACTCCGATACTACTGACGTGATGGATGGAGAAGTAGGCATTGACTAACACGTTAATCGCACAAAGAGTTTCAGGGAGAGCGAGGTAACCACTCTGGCGGAGACAAGTATTCGCACCCCTCAAAACCGGTGACCCCAAAATCGCCGTCCAGAGGCATATCATCTGCATTGATTGGGTGACCGCTAGCCCTATATTGCAACGGGAGCCTGTCAAGGTCTGGGTTTTCGGTTAGATGCGTTGGCTTTGCAGCAGACGGTGGGGCTCTAGACGCTCGTTCGGAAGTGGGGGAGTCGGTGAGCTTGCTTGAGGAACATGGCGAACTGGAGGTCCCGCCTGATGTTCGAGGCTTCTGATTGGGTGTAATGCAGCAAGACAGTAACAAGTCACCGACATCTTGTTTAAGCTGCGATATGCGCCAAGCATGTGGTGAGGACACAGATCAAAGGGAATGACGAGAACGGTTTGAGGCGTAGGTCTTATATATTGTGCTGATGGCCTGGCTTTTGAGCCTCACATCCTTCATCTGCAGTCATCTTTCGTCAGTTCCGTCTGCAATAGGCAACTGGCCTCCTACACAGAGACAAAGAGCACCTTGCATACATCTCAATCACTTGCATATCCATTTGAGACCAACAACATGGCATCTCACAATCAGCCTATGCCGCTGCCAATCCGGACGAACACTGTCGATTCACAAAAATCCCAGTCATCGGGTCAAACATCCCCACCCTATTCCCCAGCGTCACCAACGGCCCGCACGACAGCTTCGCCAACCGAAGAGTCATTCTTCGGTGCCATTTCAGCGCGCCTTCGTGGTCGCTCGCGAAGTCGCTCTCGTGGAGCCACGTCTCGCAAACGCTCCAAGTCGCCCGTGGCCATGCCGCCCACCCAAGCACCTTACCCACAGGGGCGTGCCTCCACTACAAGTCCTACCAATTCAAAACGGCCAGCTGCAGCACCAGTACAAAACGGCAGGCCTAGCATACAAGACGCGGGTCGACGGAGTACAAGTGGAAGCGATCCATGGAAGGGACGGCACTCGAACGATTGGTTGTTCAACGGGTACTCGCTGACGGCTTCAGCCAGAGAGCTAGTTCAGCGACGGAAATAAGGCAGATGAACGATTGATGGTACTGCTGGCTGTACCACGCTTGTTGATTGGCGTCTGATCACCTTTTGATGAGCGTAGCAATGAATGATGACGAGACGACTGAATGAGATTGTGCGAAGATTATTCCGAATACTGTACAGATGAGGAGCGCATTCGAGCTGGCTTCGATGCTGTTATCAAATTTTTCTTTCGCGTTCTTCTCTGTCGTTACATGGCTGTATAGTAGCTTTGAGCATACCTAGGTACAAATTGATGTTGCGGTATCGGCAATGTCGTGGTACTTCGTTTGACCACCTTGCATGTGAAATCAGGCCGCGTTGGCGAGTACACACACAACCAGGGAGAGCAACGTCACTTGACTACTTGCGCAAAGATGTATGCTGTGTCTTGGTACATGTTCTCAGAATTGTCGGAGTTCATTAGCACTGCCTCTTTTTACATAATCCACACTACTGACTCGCGGACTCAGCTCCGGTTCCGCAACCTGCCATGTGCCAGGTACCAGTTGCCCTCACCGCTTTAGGGAGTACCTTCATGTCTTCTTGTGCTCTGTGCTTTCGTGAAGCTCTCTACAACACGCGATGACGATTTCAATACCGGATATGTCTTCCCTGAATGCCGTAGACGTCACGTCCAATCATCGGAGTTAAACGATGATAACCCAGATGGCATAAGCAGCCATGTCGAATTCCGGAGTATGACCCACCACCCCTCCATCACGCCCCCGTGAGGTTGACCATCCATCGGTACAAAACACTCATTCCGAATCTGAAGGATAACGTTCGCCACACCGCATCGGTTTATCGTCGAGGGTTTGCATAGAGCGAACATATATTTAAGACTCAATTGCGATCCGTTCCACCCCTCTCTCCTGTACTCCGTCTATACTCGTACCTATCATGAAGCAAGAACGCGCAACTCTCCCAACACCTAACTCGACAGACTCGTTCTGGCACACCGAACCGAATGAGTTCCTGATCGGCCACCGCACAACGGAGGAATTGCCTGCTGAGGCTGACATCGTTATTGTGGGGTCTGGAATAACGGGCACAAATGCAGCCAGGTATCTCTCGGAGGATCAGAGAGCTGCCGGTAAGAGTATCGTTCTGCTCGAGGCCCGAGAGGCATGTTGGGGCGCTACAGGAAGGGTAAGTCGACTTCTTAATCTCGCGATCGTCTGATCGGAATCTACGGTGCACATCTGCTGACGATTGCGCAAACAGAATGGTGGACACTGCCAGCCCCTCCTCTTCGACCGAAGTAGCGATGTAGCCGAGTTCGAGCTCAAGAACGTCGCTGCGGTGCGATCCTATATTCAGGACAACAACGTGCCTTGCGAGTGGCGCGACGTAACTGGCTGCCGCACGTTCTGGACTGAAGAGGCGATGAGCGAGGCTGAAAAGGAAATCGAACATCTCAGGAAAACATCACCTGAAATCGCACGCCATGTTACCATCCTCAAGGAAAAGGAGGAATTTAAGAAGCACCGCGTCACACCCGAGTGTGTTGGATTGACACTAAGTGAAGGAGCTGCGAGTCTATGGCCGTACAAACTAGTTACCTTCATGCTCGAGAAGCTCGTTAAGAACGGCCAGCTCAACCTACAGACCAAGACTCCCGTCACCGAAATTACCTCGTCAGACGGCACGCACACTCTCCACACGCCCCGCGGCACCATCAGCAGCAAGACCGTCATTCTCGCGACCAATGGCTACACATCAGCTCTCCTACCCCACTTCGCCGATCTCATCGTGCCCTGTCGTGGAGAGATGTCAGCCCTGATCCCACCTGCAGGAATGACGCTCTTGCCAAACTCGTACGGCATGGTTGCGGCTCTAGGCCAACCAGCCAACAACGACGACTACCTCATTCACCGTCCATTTGAGGGCGTTCCAAACCCTGGTGGTCATCTGATGTTTGGTGGCGGCCGCGGAGCAGGACATTATCCAAGCATAGGCGTTTCTGATGACACTGTAATCGATGAAGGCTCTGCTGCATACCTTCGCGGTGCGCTGTTAAAGGTTATGGAGCTAGGTGGGCAGACGGAAGGTCTGAGTGAGCTTAAAGCTGCCGCACAGTGGACTGGCATCATGGGTTATTCGCGTGATGATCACCCATGGGTTGGTAAGGTGCCGGGCAATGAAGGCTTATGGCTCGCCGGTGGATACACAGGACACGGTATGCCGAACGGCACATTATGTGGAAAGGCTGTTGTCGACATGGTACTCGGTGAGATGGACGGCAAAGACCTGACCGCTGTACACGAGGAGATGGTTCAAAAGGGCGATATGCCCAAGAGCTACATCCTGACAAAAGAAAGGATCGATCGATCAAGACAGATGCTCACAGTACAGCAACAGGATGCACAGGGAGTACACATGAACGGTGTTGTATAGATCTCAATGATGATACCGTTGGCCCGTTCTTGCGCCGATTTTCGTCATGTCGAAAGTGTTGAGCTTGCTCATCTTACCAGCTTGATTGAAATGTGTACATGATATTACCGGCCGTGGAGCTGTCACCGCCTTGTCTTGTGACAGAATCTTGACTCTCTAGGGTCAATCAACATGCGGACAATAGCGTCTAAGGCGCGTGGACGCTACTCCGCTTTCCCGCGGTCCCCATTGGGGTACCAAGCCCGATCGGATTACCAATTTCTTGCTTCATGGTATCACGCTTCCACAAAGCCTGACTCATATGTATGAACCTCAACATAACGTACATATCTAGAAAAACATCCACGAAACTCATTCTATACCTGGTAAACGATTTCACTTGAGTCACCATTGCAATTGCGAAAACCCGATCACCAATCCCCAAACTTCAACATGCCAGCTCACCCTCTCCCCACGAAGATTGGCGTTGTAATCTTCCCCGGATTCCAACTCCTAGACTGGGCCGGTCCCTTGGACGCCTTTAATATCCTGTCCAACAACCACACCCTCAGCCTCTGCACCATCGCCTACACTCTAGATCCAGTGCCGACTCAGAACTTTATGCAAGACAAACAAGGCTCCCAATTCTCACAGTCCATGGTTCCCACGCATACATTCGAGAATGCGCCGGATGATCTGGAGGTATTGCTTCTTCCAGGAGGTCTAGGAGCACGCGGACCGGGCAGCGACGCATGGATGAAGCCACAAGTTGAATATCTAAAGAGATTGGATCTGAGTGGGAAAGGAAGTATCAAGTGGGTTCTGACCGTTTGTACAGGCAGTGAGATTCTGGCTCGGACTGGTTTGTTAGATGGCAGGAGGGCGACGACTAACAAGCGTGCTTTCAACGATGTATGTTGGACCTCCTCTTTCATAGTCATATCGGATTGGTAACTTACTATTCTGTTCAAGGTCAAAACTCAGCATCCGAACGTCGATTGGGTTGCAAAGGCTCGTTGGGTTGTCGATGGCAACATCTGGACTAGCTCTGGTATCTCGGCTGGTATGGATCTGGCGTTTGCGTGGATGGCGGAAGTATTCGGTGAGGAGACCGCGCAGTTTGTGGCGGATCGGAGCGAGTATGAGAGGAACGTTGACTCAGGAAATGATCGGTATGCCGAGAGATGGGGAGCTGTGTAGGCCGACACAGAAGCACTGGTAAAACTGGTGTGGATTCCGATCTATAGGGGGGATAGTTCTTTCGAAAGTAATGCTTCCTGTCTTTTAGCAGGATCATTTGATCAAGACTCCGTCAGGATGATCCCCTCTACATTACCACATCACGTCCTGGGTGGCCGGGCAGTCACTGTAGTGTGAAAATAGAAAGGTCTTGTCTATAATGACTATCGCTATGCTAAAAAGGCTATCAAGATCGTAATGCTAAGATTTTGCGGAGCGACCGCTACAACAGACGAAAATATCCACATGTCTAGAATTGTCGATTCCGAAAAGAAGAAGGCTACTTGTTACGACGGAAAGCAGCAAAGGGAGGGAAGAAGTATGCGGGGTGGAAGCACACAAGCACCGTGCAAGCAATAGCTAACATCCTGGTTATCATTGTTAGTGTTCTATCTTTGGTTGTGAAGGACATGGATCATGGAAACTTACATGCCGTCGAGCAAGAGGAACTCTTTCTCGTTTCGCATCAGCGAATTTCCCCATCCACCAGCCATCTCTGGTAAACGGTAGATGCATCGAATGAGCACAGTAGTGTATGCCAACACGACGATCCATCCAAACAGCTTGATCTTGGCAAGCTTCACAGCGCCTGTCTCCTTGTCCATTTCGTACGTGCTCTTCTCCCCAATGGTAGCCTGGTTCTTGCGGGCCTTGCGGTATCGGAAAATGTAAACGAGGACCAGTCCACCACATACAGCCATGGTGACAACCTGAAACGCAATACCAGCTACGATGAGGTTGTTGCCGCCATCGATAAGCTTCTTGTTTGTTGTGCCACCTGCGGCCGCCATACCACCACCACATGCCTGGAGTACAATGGAACCGAAGTCGCAGCCGATGAAGATCCAGGGATAGAGACGTGCCTTGAGGAGCGAATGCTGGGGTCCGCAGTATAGCACAAAGTGTTTCAGGGTGAGATAGATGCCAGCCGCGACAAAACTAGGACCAAGGACCAGACAGCAGATTTGTAGTTTGAAACCAGATTCGCTCCAGGGGTTGTCGTTCATGATGACGCGCCCAGCGTATCCTGCAGCTTCAAGAAAAGTTCCAATTGCCAGTGCAGCTGTGTAGGTCCATGTCTTGCTCAGAACTCCAATTACTAGCGTGGCGATGCACAGAATGGCGAAGAGGGCGCAAAGAAAGGCATTAGCTCCTAGGTTGGGACGGTACCCGTATAGTGTTGCAAACACTGGACATTCTGGGCTAACTTCCAAACATTGTCGGAAGTTTCCTTTCGGTCGGTCTTCTTGCGCGGACACAACGACGAGTAGTTGCGTTGCGATGGCGAGCGTGGCCAACAGGCCTGTACGTGCGTAGGAACGCATAGGGTCGGCGAGATGAACGTAGAACCAGATCAGTCGAAGGAACGGACGACGAGAGCAATGGTACGTGATAAGAGACCGTTGCGAGAAGAGACCCAAGCAAACGCGAGGGACGTGGGAGGTGGACTAATTATTCCGGTGGGGGGTGGCTTCACTGACACCTAGCCCTTTATCGTGCAGTGTATATCCACCTGCCGTATACACCGTGTTCATGTCCAAACTGCGCCTCTAATCTCTTTTGCCTCTTTGAAGCTCTAAGCGAGGTATGCTTTGCCGTGCTTGACCGCGCGCCATTGGGCTCGCTTAGATTCATTTGACATGGCCAAGGCGTCAGCGTCAACGATTTTGGGTGGGCCGCGGCTTTGAGATGAATCTGACCGGGTGTATGGGTCGCTTCGATACCGTTGGATCTCCCTTGTTTGTCAGCGCACGTGTTGAGACGGCAAGGTGAGTTTCGCTTCCATTTGGGGTGTCGGAGTGCGAGGCATCTGTGCTATCTAGAGTTCATCTGGGGACGAAAGAGTTGTTGGATGACGATATGCTAGTGACTTTGTGGTGTGGCGTCGTTCGGCTGTAGTTTACGGGTTGCCGTGTTCCCGGCCGTCAGCTGTTTGTTCCGGCTGTTCAGCCATCCGCCTTCTAGTGTTTTGGAGGGGGACGCGATAGGTTGTCTCGTCCTTGTCGCGAAATCTTCGTAAGCGCACGCGCATGTCGGGCGGATGCTTACAGTGTAGTTTCCCAAATGAGTAGATCTAAGCAGGCTTAGTCGCTTTCAGCACGTGTAGACTGCGCTAGTTCACTTGGCTTCCCTAGTCGTTGCTTCCTTCAACGGTTGACCGCGGCTCTTCATTAGTACCAACCCCGCGGATATCAATCGCGTCATTATCCCTGGGGGTATGCTACTAAGCGTCCGAATTGAAGCGCAGCATCGAAGAGTAGATACCACGAACGAATCTCAAGAGCACGATGATGCATCGCAAGAATACGACTGATGTTGCTCAAACAGTAGAGCGTGTAAAGTAATGCTCATATTCGTGATCTCATCAAACCATGCCACGATTTCAAACGCCATATAATGCAGAGAGCCCGCCCGAAACGCCCAGCAATGCCATGAATGTGTACATCCTGCTCAACCCTCCACATCCTCAACCCTAATCCACCGCTCTTCCAACGCAAGCACTACCAACTCCTTCGCACTACCCAACCCCTCTTCTCTACCCAGCGCGACAGGACATAGTAGCTCACTGACCCTCTGCAAGACCTTGTACAGCCTCATAGCCTTCTTCTCAACTTTCTTCGTATCTACCTCATCGCGTTTGGAAATAATGGGACGGGAGGAGACGTGGTGTGGTGCTGAAGAGATAGCAGCAAGGTGATTCAGTAGTTTGTGGAGGAGGAAGTGCAACCAGACGAGATTTGTTTTGGGATGGAAATCGCGCCAAACGTCGGCGTCGTCTTCTTCAGGCTGCTCCTCCTCTGCTTTGGGACTTTGCTCAATGTCAGGTGCAGCCACGTCCTCGTGCTTCCTAGGCGACCTTCGGAGCGCTGATGGCTCCTCGTCTTCCGAGTCGAAGCGAATGTGGTTGTTCTTCCTAGGTGTGTGTCGAGGCGTGACGGGCACTTGCTCTGGTTCCTCCTCTTCTTGTTCCTCTTCCTCCTCTTCCGGTGCATCGAACGATTCATCGTATATAACATGTAGTGGGTTATCGAAGACCGCCACACCGCGCATGTAACGGTATATTTCGTACTGGTATTCCTCACTTGCGTCGCCGTGGAAGAGCGCGAGATCCTTGTTGAGATCCAGATAAGCGACATTGGCCGTTTCCTCAGTTGCAGACGCGGCTGTGGAGCTTGAGACGTGCGACATAGCTGATATCCTTCGAGACTGGGACGAGGAAGCAAGGATGTCCGCGCGTGACAAGGTGTAGTCAATAACTGTTGTATCCAGACCAGCGAAACGGAGTTTGCGGCGCAGAGGGTCTTTGATAGAGGGCTTCATTACGTCCCCACCTGTGCGTGAAGATCGAACGCAAATGTTACCAAGGTGCAAGTCGCGATGCTCGAACCGACATGCCTCTTCTGCTTTCCCAACACTAATCGCCACGCCCCAGAAGACATCCCAGGCTTCCCATATCGAAGACATGCCTCCCGTTTCCATGAGCTTCTCAACATCCGTACCAGCGTCTTGCATCTCTACCACCGCCCAGAGCTGGAACTCATCATAGCTAGCCTTCTTGCTGGGGTCAGGAAATTCGCTCTTCTTCCCACGTGGCCGCGCCTTGTTCCATTCCTTCCATGCGTCGTTGAAGGAAGCCGAAGGTCTACCTTGCACAATCGTAAGGTCGCGGAAGACGGTAAAACCAGGTATGTGAGTGAGATTCTGGAGGAGCTTAACCTCTGAAGCAACATCATCAACCTGTGATTTGTAGGCATCGTCCTGTTCACGTTGTTCCATCTCTTTCTCCAGTTGAGCCTCTCTATCGCGAACTGCACGAGCATG